TTTAGGCATTTTTGGTTATATTTCTATCTTTGTCTTGTCAATCCTCCTCCCCTTCCTTCATTAATGATTAGTTTCCTTCTGTTTACACAGGCATATTGCAATCTCTGAGTTTGGCGACCCAGCAGCTCTTGCACAAGCTCTTCAATTTGTTTTTTTTTTGACAGTCTACTCTAATTGCTCAATGCTAGCAAACATGGAAGGCAAGTTATGATTGCTCCAACCATATTCCTGGAACTGAGATTGCCTAAAGGTTGAAGTGAGTCATTTCAGGGTAAATTGTAGAGAGGAATCCAACATTAAGCACAAAGCAAATGTAATGTCAAACAAATGCTATTTTTTTTGCATTACAGGAGTATGTTGCAGAAGATAATTTGTTCTCAATCTTTTATACCTCATTGTAATATCTAGATCTAGATCTAAGAGATCTCTGGAAGGGCTCTCTACATGGAGCTCCCCTTGAGGAGCACCCGGAGGCTCCAACTGGTGCAGAATGCGGCCACGCGGGGGATTATGGGAGCGAGGGGGTGATCCCATGTGACACCTCTCCTGCGTGAGCTGCATTGGCTTCCAGTTGTCTTCCGGGTGCGCTTCAAGGTGTTGGTTACCACCTTTAAAGCGCTCCATGGCATAGGACCTGGGTATCTGCAGGACCGCTTCTGCCGCCGATAGCCTCCCACCGACCAGTATGCGCCCACAGAGAGGGACTCCTCAGGGTGCCGTCAGCCAGGCAATGTCGGCTGGCGACCCCCAGGGGGAGGGCCTTCTCTGTGGCAGCTCCTGCCCTCTGGAACGATTTGCCCCCGGAGATACGAAGGATATCGGATCTCCGGGTCTTTCGCCGTGCCCTGAAAACTTTTCTTTTCCATCAAGCAGGGCTGGCGTGAACCCCCTCCCCCCTTTTTAGTCTTTTTTAGTTTTTTAGTTTTAAATTGTCATGGGGTTTTAATTGAATTGTTTTAAATTGGGCCAGTTATGTAATTCTTTTAACAATTTTAAATTTTGTATCGGCATGTGTTTTAGTTCTGGCTGTTCACCACCCTGAGTCCACTAGGAGAAGGGCGGTATACAAATTGAAATAAATAAATAAATAAATAAAATAAAAATATTTGTACAAATTCTGGAAGATTTTGTCTGTCTGACTGACTTCTTATCCTACTCTTCCTTCCATCCCTGTAAGGGAGGTCCCTTAGTCCCTATGAGACAATAATGGAGGAAGTGTAAACACACAAATAGATCCTTTTTTGAAGGGGATCTCTTGAATGCCATCTCAGAATGAATGAATTTAACATGAAATGAAAAAAAGTTATATATATTTTTTTTGGGGGGGAGTTATATATCTCCCTCCAGAGGCTGGGTAAGATGCAGTCAAATCTAATTAAAAGGTGGTTTTCAAAAGGCAGCTGGGTTTTCTTTGTTTTTTTCTTTGAAAACATTTCGTTTCTCAGTCAAGAAGCTTCTTCAGTTCTGACTGAATGGTGAGTAATGGAAGGATTTACAATTGTTGCAGTCATCTGAAGGTTGGCCTTTCACACTCTAAAGGTCAGTAGTTAGCTCTCTGAGAGTTGTTGAAGCCACATTGCTGGAATATCTGAAAAGCTCAAGAGGATTTTCAACCAACACAACATACATGCACACTTCCAACCCAAGAATACATTAAGGCAGATGTTTGTCCACTCCAAGGATAAACCACCTGGACACAAACTGAACAATGTGATATATGCAGTACTTTGCAGTGAGATATGTGGAGTTAAGATCTGTACATTGGGAAAACAAAACAACCACTTCACAAACACATGGCTCAACATAGGAGAACAAACCCAGCAGGACAAGATTTAGCAGTCCATCTGCATTTAAAAGGCAAAGGTCACTCTTTTGAAGACAGCAAAGTCTACATTTTGGACAAAGAGGACCACTGGTTTGAAAGAGGGGTAAAAGAGGTCATCTATGTTAAAACTGAACTGCCCTCTTTCAACAGAGAGGAGGGATATGACACCACTTATCTCCTGTCTACAATACAGTACTTTCAGCAGTTCCACACCCATTTGTATTCTGATTCAGGTGATCCTGAGGATACAGATAAACTCCCAAGTGGCCTCAATGCCTCTCTGAGAGCTAATAACTGACCTTCAGAGTGCTAATGACCAGATGACTACAAAGAATATATATCCTTCCATTCCCCACCATTCAGTTAGAACCTAAGAAGCTTCTTGAATAAGAAACAAAACATTTTCCTTCCTTATACCATTCTCTGCCCTAATGATTTCTTCCAACAACCAGTTTGCCAAACTGCTCAGAAAGTTAACAACCGGTTCTCCCAAAGTGGTGTGAACTGGCTGAACCCCATCACTGCCTTGGAAGTCATCTAGTCCAACCCCCTGCTCACGAGGAGACCTATACTAGGGATTCCAGCTGCCAAACTGCTGACCTTTCTGATCGACAAGCTCAGTGTCTTAGCCACTGAGCCACCTAGCCAGCTTTCATTTCTAGCTAGCTTTCATTTCTTAAAGGACAGTTTGAACCCCATGAAGTTAGTCTACCTAGCATTGTAGTATCAATGCTAATATTGGCAATAGATGTCCAGCTGGTTAGGGTCAGGTATAATCTATGCTTTGATGACTTCTTCTCCTCCAAGCTTTTGTTCATTTCTTTGATGGCAAAGATTATTCTACTATATATCAGACACTTGATGTTTAAGGGATTCAGAGAGTGCCATTGTTTGGGATTTAATAAACAAGATACTATTATCTGCTGCCATAAATGATAGGTGTAATATACTGCTGAAAAGTGACTCATTAAAGGGTTAGGAAAACAGCAACTAAATTTGTTCCTTATATATCCACTTACCCAACAAGCACAAAGACTTAAGATGAAGCTGAAAGCCAATATTTACCATAACATATGGTATGGAATAGTACCATACCATAGATTAGTCCTATCCCTGTTTTTTAAAAAGGTATATGGTATGTTCCTTTCCTTTCATATCATATCATAACGAAGGACACTGTAGAACAATCATTTAACACATGTTGGCTTTAAAGTGGCCTATTAGTATGATACTGTTAATATTTATAATTTTAGATCATAAAGGTACATTATTTCATACATGGAATCTAATTTGCCAGTTTATTTTCCATTACCCTTAATTTTTGTGGTATATATATATTTTTCACTATCCTGAATATTTGGAGCCATCTGAAAACCTGATCACAAGTTGCAGTCCTTTTTAGATCAGAAAATATTTTTGAAATTGACTCGAAGTTAAGCAGCTCCTTGAAATTAGACTATTGCAATTTGCGCTACATGGGGCTGTCTTTGAAAACTATCTGGAAACTGCAGCTGGGACAGATTTCAATCAATACTTGCTGGCTGATGGAAACTGAATTCATACTATAATACCTGTGGTGAGGTTACAATGCTTGCCAATAGTTTTCAAAATTCACTTTGAAGTACTGTTGGTAACTAAAAAATCCTACTTGGTATGGCTTCATTTTCCTTTGGGATTGTTTCCCTTTAATAACATCTACCCATTGGTGAAGTCTTTCTTGGAGGAATTCCTTTTCGATAAGTTGTGGGAAATGCAGAAGGCTAGAAGATTAAATGTAGACTTGTTGTCTTGCTGTCCCCTAATTATATATGAATTTTCCCCAGAAGTTCCAATTCTTCTAAGTTTTAGGAAAACAGTTAAAACAGTCTTCTTCTGTTCAGTATCCAAAAATTAAGTGGTTTGTTGATTTATGTCGGCTTTGGATGACATACTTTTTTTTTTTTAATTTGATTTATATGCTGCCCTTCTCCGGAGACTCAGGGCGGCTTACAATGCATTAAGCAAAAGCCTTCATACTTTTGTAAAATACTGTATTTTATATTTAATAGGATGACTGTTTTTCAATCTGTGTGTTTTTTATTATTTTTAAGGTTTGATTTTGTATTGGGATAGCGATATGTACTTTGAGGTTATGTGCTTACGTGGCATACTAGTATACAAATTTGATAATAAAATAAGCAACGTACATTCGGTTCATAGGAGATATAAACAAATCAAATCATCTATATGATCGTTTAGCACAAACATGTTAATCCAATCTAGGTTTTTGCATAGAGTTTTGAAATAAATTTATTTGCAAATGAAGTTTTGAAAACTGTTTTTTATTCCTGTTAATTGCATCACTGATAAAAGCCCTTTAAAAAGGGAACCAAAGCTGAGTATCACCACTGAATTTTACCTTACTTGGCAACACCTTGATGATCTGAATTGATACCAATGCTTCTGAAACAATGAGTTAGCTGGAGGGAAGGGGTTGCATCTCTCTCTGTTTAATATTTAATCAAATATGTATATATGTATGTATGTGTGTATGTGTGTATATGTATGTATGTATGTATGTATGTATGTATGTATATATAATTTGATTTTAAATACAGAATACAAAATATAAATAATAAAATTAAAAACCTAGTAAAGGGTGCTAATGTCCACTGATCATATAGTAAAATATTGACTATAATGGATTCTATGATTTGCCTTTGATGACAGTCCTAGTGGAACTGTCTTCTACAAGGGCAAGCATGATCAGTCATGAGGAAGCTGTCAGTTCAGCCACACACAGAGAGCTGCCTGCAACAGTGGATACCAAATGGTTTTGCACCAGTAGTGTCGTTTTTGATGACATCTGGGTGGGTGGGCGGAGCTTCCCGCTACCGCCGCTACCAGTTTGCTTGAACTGGGGTGAACTGGGAGCAACCCACCACTGGTTTTGCACAAAACTCACCAGGATGAAAGAGAATCCTGATGAGAATTAATGTAAGGTTAGAAGCCACTGTAAAATGTGCAATTGTTTTATTAGTCATTTTTAAAAATATGGGTCACCTAGCAAAGTTCCAATATAGGAACTATTTTTGAAAAGAACAAGCTAACCTGCTTTTTAATTTGAATGCGTGTGATATTTCTTGCCACATGGATATTTTTAGTATGGTAAGAAAAAGAATTAAATTTGATCAGCTTAACATGTTTGGAATTTTTATTCACATCAATTTGCATTTTACATTGAGTTGTCCATCTTTAATAGAATAAGCAAAGCTAATATTGCTATGTTTTTTTATGGCAGCTGAGAAGACATTAGCAACACATTAAAACTGATTCATATAAGACACACTGCAAAGTAATTAGAAATGATAGTGTATATATAGCACAGTTCTGCATGTGTAGGAAATTTATTCAAACATGGAAATCACAATAACATAAAGACTGTGAGACACAATGCAGAAAACATCAAGATTCAGATTTTTGACATGTCAACTATGCCATTCAGCTATTCACTATTCCAAAATTTAATGTACAGTCTACTCAATTGTACACACATATATTTATGCAATGTGTGCAAGAAATGAATGATGAATGTCTTTTATTCCAGTAACAGAGAAAATTACTGTCTGAACTGAGTTTAGCTTCACTTCCATTTTATTTTTTAAAGCATCTCTAACTTGCAGTAAAAATGAAAACGAACACTTTTATTTGAAAAATATTGGATTTTTAATGTCTGTAAATAGGATTCCATGAAGATCTTTGTTCATTTATCTGACATCCTCAGTAGACAGTAACCACATTCCTAATTTAAATGTTTACAAGAAGTTACACTTAATGAAGCCAGATTATCAGCAGAACTCATTTTCCTCAAGATTTGACTGGGACAAGACAAAAGTTATTAGAAGTTTAAATCACTGGGTGCAAATTTTACTCTAAGTCATAAACTAGTTTATTTGGCTTTGGCTCTTGTGCACTTACTGTTCTAGTTTGTTAACCAATGATTCATAGCCTATAAATCCACCCAACATACGTCCAATTGTTGCTGTACATGACTAAGTATGGTATGGCTTAACTCATTGTGGGAACCAGTGGTGGGTTGCCCCCGGTTTGGACCGGTTTGCAAGAACCGGTAGTAAAACCGGTGGGAGGCCCCGCCCACTGCCCTGGATGTCATCATCGGCGATCTGCGCATGCGCAGAAGCAAGGTGCGTGCGCGAGTGAAGCGAACGGGTAGTAAAGGTAAGTAGAACCCACCCCTGGTGGGAACCAAGCAATGATATCACTGAGATTTAAATTATTCATGACATATATAAAGGCTATAGATTTAAACTGATGTCCTCTAAATATGACTGAGTGTTAAACCAATCACAATAATCTATAGCATCTGCTTATAAAGTCAATTAAAGCAGTAAACACTGCCAGAACGTAAATGATCAGTAATTGTCACATGTTTATTAGAAAACTTAAGATGATTTTTTTCTTTAAAAAAACCCCACTTTTTGTCATGAACCTGCCGTTTTATTGTAAACAATATGCTCAAAATTCAATAGCTCTGACATTTTACATAGGATACAAGAACAAATACTGTTTATGTTCATTGTTGCCTTTACATAGGCAGTTGTCTTTCTAAATGTCTCCACGGTTTCCAAGATCAACATCTTTTACTCCTCCACTTTGCTGCCCTGTCACAATTGCAAGTCTGCTGAAAGGAATGACTTTCATAACTGTTTTCTTCAGGGAGTACCACCGATTATGCCAAGTTACCCAGATAACGCCATTGTCATAGCCATGTGGACCTGCGTCTTTCTCGGAATAAACACCACCTACAATGTGGGGAGGAAAAGTAAATGTAAATGAGCCAGGAAATACTTTTACATAGCTTTGAGATACCTATGTAGGTATTTTAATGTTATTAATTCATAAAACTAATATATATTAATTTTAAGACCATGCTAGGTGAGTGTTATGTACCGTATTTTTCGAAGTATAAGATGCTCCCGACTATAAGACGCACCTACCTTTTTTGGGGAGGAAAACAAGAAAAAAAAAATCTGCCTCTGCCTCCCAACAATTTGCAGCAAACAGCAGAGGCCCATGTGGCAATAGGCAAGGCAATCCCTGCAGCCTGAAACAGCTGAGGGTCGGGGGGCCGATCCAACCAACAATCAACTGCTTGTGCTAATCAGGCTGTGCTGAAGCTGAAACGGGCTGTTTTCCCTTTGCTGCTTGATGCAAGGAGGTAAATTGCCGGGAGGCAGAGGCCAAAGGGTGGGGGCCAGCGGGTGGGTGGGGCTACATTAGGTGTATAAGATGTACCCAAATTTTCACCCTGTTTTTTGGGGGGAGAGGGAAGTGTGTCTTATACTCCGAAAAATATGGTAATTTCATTTACTCTATGATCAAGTTCAATGGTATTAAACTGCTATAGACATAGTTTAACATTTCTGCATGAATTATAATCCAAAATTGGAATTTGCTATCATGACATGTGCTGTCTACCAGTTTGGCTGGTTTCAAAAAGATACCTGCATCAGTTCATGAAAGTTATCGGGATCAATGGCTATTAACCTTGATGGCAATGTGACTGTTCTTGAGAGCCAAACCAACAAAGGCATATTCAATCCGCTCTTTATGTTTTTATGCTTATTTAGAAATTCCACGGGATTAAATCAGATTGATCTTTTAATGTTGTTAGTTACAAAGTCGTGTCCGACCCCATGGACAACGTTCCTCCAGGCCTTCCTGTCCTCTACCATCCTCTGGAGTCCGTTTAAGCTCACACCGACTGCTTCAGTGACTCCATCCAGCCACCTCATTCTCTGTCGTCCCCTTCTTCTTTTGCCCTCAATCTTTCCCAGCATTAGGCTCTTCTCCAGTGCGTCTTTTAATAGGTATGTTTATTTAGATCTAATAACCCCAAAATTACGTTGCAGATATTTAGTTATCTTTTTTTTTTTAAAAAAAGGGAAGGAGGACTTGAATTAATACCTGCTTAAAATACTTGAGATGGTTGATATTGAAAAGACATTGTTCAACTAACCTCCACTTTCCCTCCTGAATGATATTTCGTGAATTTTTAAAAAAGGCAAAAATGGCATGAAGAAAGGCTACAAGTTAAAAACTGCTGGGAAAGACAGAAAGCAGCTCTATGGGAAATGTCTCATCCATAGACCGCATTGTGCATATGGGAACTTCCAAACATTACCTTGATAATATTTGCCATTCAGATGAGCGGCATGACATTTGTTCATCCACCAGCCAGATCCATCTTGTTGAGCACAGTTGCCTTCATATTTATCATTATCGTTGTCATACGTGCTAAACTGTATGCCGTTGTGAGAAGTAAAAAATTTGTCACTGGGATCGTCTTGAAAATCAAATCCATCAAAGGCATCCCCAGCGTCGCCCCCAGCAAAATAGGCATAGATCATACGGTATTTGTCAGCTTCATTTCCCAATTTGAAATGGGCATAATCTGCATATCTGTGTGGGAAGAAAGAAAGAAAATCACTATTAACTTCTAGTGGCCTTTAATTTCTTGGCCATTCAGTTGGATGACCTGATGCTAATATTTCAAGGGCATTCATTCCTGAAAGATTATGAAAATACTTAATTTCAGGAGTTATACAAATACACAGGATCTACATAAACAAGCAAATAATGGAGAAATTATGATCATTCCTGCTGCAGACACTGCTGAAACAAACAACTATTTATTTGAAACAGATAAACAAACTAACCCTAGATAATATTATAATGCTTTATAATGCTAATGTATACATTGGTTAAAAGCAATTTAAATTCCACTAATTTCAATGGGTTTGAAATACAGTACATTTAGCTTGTAGGATAGCAATAGTACTTAGACTTATATACCGCTTCATAGTGCTTTACAGCCCTCTCTAAGCAGTTTACAGAATCAGCATATTGCCCTCAACAATTTGGGTCCTCATTTTACCCACCTCGGAAGGATGGAAGGCTGAGTCAACCTTGAGCCGGTGAGAATCAAACTTCCGAAGTGCTGGCAGCTGGCAGTCAGCAGACATAGCCTGCAGTACTGCATTCTATCCACTGTGCCACCATGGCAGCATTACAACTAGTTGCAGTGATCTTATTGTACCACTTATGTGCACACATGTAAAGTGCAGGTAGCTAAAATAGCAATTTTTGCCAATCCCCATTATGTTAGCCTTGAGTTGATAAAGAAATCTATACCTTTTTTCGTTACTCCAGTCCTCCACCTCTATTCTCAAGGCATATGGAACTGTAGTCTGAGTAGTTATTAAATGAATCTTTTCATTTCCCAACCAGAATTCTGTATTGTCATTAGGTGACAGATGTCCAAATCCTTCCTTATATTGAATCCAGTTTTTGTTAAAGTCTTCGCTGCCATCAAGCCTCTGTAAATAAAACAGAAGATGAATAGAAATTATATATTGTTGGGCCTCTTGATGCGGGCGAAGAAGGAGAGTGCAAAAGTTGGCTTGAAACTCAACATTAAGAAAACTAAGTTCATGGCATCCTCTCAAATCCTGGCAAATAGATGGGGAAGAAATGGGGATAGTGACAAATTTTATTTTCCTGGGCTCCAAGATCACCGCAGATGGGGACCGCAGCCAAGAAATTAAAAGATGCTTGCTCCTGGGGAGGAAAGCTATGGCAAATCTAGACAGCATACTAAAAAGCAGTATGCCAACAAAAGTGTTCATAGGCAAGGCTATGGTTTTCCCAGTTGCAATGTATGGCTGTGAAAGCTGGACCATAAGGAAGGCTGAGCACCAAAGAATTGAGGCCTTTGAACTATGGTGCTGGAGAAGACTCCTGCGAGTCCCTTGGACTGCAAGGCAATCAAACTGGTCAGTTCTAGAGGAGATCAACCCTGACTGCTCTTTAGAAGGCCAGATCCTGAAGATGAAACTCAAATACTTTGGCCACCTAATGAGAAGGAAGGACTCACTGGAGAAGAGCCTAATGCTGGGAAAGATTGAGGGCAAAAGAAGAAGGAGATGACAGAGAATGAGATGGCTGGATGGAGTCATTGAAGCAGTAGGCGTGACCTTAAATGGACTCCAGAGGATGGTAGAGGACAGGAAGGCCTGGAGGAACGTTGTCCATGGGGTCATGACGGGTCAGACACGACTTCGCAATTAACAACAACTAACACTCCTTTGCTGTATCTCTTTTTTTCTGTGATATGCTTACCCTCTGTAAAACTGTCCACCCATTGCCTAGATTGTCGATTTCACAGTACACCAGGAACTGTTGCTCCACTTTCAGGGGTTTTATGAAGTACAGTCCACTCTGCCGTGCACCTTTATTAGCAATGTCTTGACAATCTATAATAAATATGTAAGAGAGAAGTGGCTTGTAATAACTGCAATCCACCATATTCATTTTTAATTAACTCTAAAAAAAAACCCTATTTATTTTAAATGATGGTTTATTATGTTCTCATTCTGTCTTGCTGAAAGAACTCACAACACAATACATTTTTTAAAAAAATAATATCCCTTTAATCTCACATCTATCCTGTAAGGAAGAAAAGATTGGACTCCAAGCGTTCCTGTTGCAATGGAAGGTCTATTCCACTAGTTATCCTCAACTATACATACTGAATTGCTTTGGAATAAATGATTTCAAGATCACATAATATAAAAAGTACAGGGGCTTGTATCTGAACCAAAGCCTCACTGTTGTTATTGTTATTGGAATTCATTTGGTACTGAACATGATTTTTTCTGATGGAAATTGAAACGTATAGTCAAGCTTCTAAGCATCTGGACTTCTTGCCACAAACGTTGTTCACATCAGTTCAAATGAAACTAGGAGTAGAGCAGAGCAGAGCAGAGCAGAGCAGAGCAGAATATCAGAGTTGGAATAGACCTTAGAGGTCTTCTAGTCCAACTCCTTGCTCAGGCTGAGACCCTATATCATTCCAGAGAAGTAGCTGTCCAGTCTCTTCTTAAAAGCCTCCAGTGATGTAGGACACCTACAACTTCTGAAAGAAAGCTGTTCCTCTGGTTGATTGTTCTCAAGAAAGTTCTAAGTTGGATCTCTCTTTAATTAGTTTCCATCCATTGTTTCTTGTCTTGTCTTCTGGTGCTTTGGAAAAGAGGTTGATCTCTTCTTTTTTTGTGGCAGCCATTCAAATATTGGGACAGTGCTATCATGTCTCCCCTGGTCCTTCTTTTCGCTAGACTAGACATGTCCAGTTCCTGCAACTGTTCATCATGCTTAATCTTCAGGCCCCTAATCATCTTTGTTGCTCTTCTCTCTGCACTTTTTCCAAAGTCTCGATATATTTTAATAGTTTGATGACCCAAACTGGATGCAATATTCCAGGTGTGGTCTTACTAAGATTTTGTAAAGTGGTACTAGTACTTCATGTGATCCTGATTCTATCTTTTTGTTAATACATTTTAGGATTGCATTGGCTTTTTTGGCTGCCGCTGCACACTGCTGGCTCGTATTTAAAAGATTGTCTATTAGGACTCCGAGATCCCTCTCACAGACCGACTGAGAAAATAACTAAGGTTCAATCAGTACAGAAATTAACTTAAAACAATGGGAACCAATCTTTGCCTTAGCATACTGAAAGAAGGAAGAAGCTATAATTTGGTTTATTTCTGCACCTTAGCATGTTATGGATATAGCAACTGTATTTTGCAATAAAGCATGTTATGTGAAACTAGCCAATGTAGATCAATAAAGCCATGTTTAGAAAATGTCTGCAAATGTTTCCATTGATCCTCATTGCCTAAATAAGTCTACAAGAAGCCCATTCAAGAATTATTGGTGGTCCTACACAAAAGCAGATACGGGAATAAATAAAGCAACATGAGCAGAATTATAACGTATGCTTTTGTTTGATACTTCATTATTATAAAGCTAGTTCCTATTTTGTTTCAACAGATATGAACATATATCTGTTTTTCAACTTTAATGTTTCATCTGAAAGTGGCATCTCCTTGACTTCTTCCATAGCAAACTTAGAAAACTGGAAGTGGAAAAAAAGTGTCCTAGTCTAGGCCATTGCCTAAAATACTTTTTTAAAAAATAAAATACTTATTTAAAAAAAGCTCGAGATAACAGATATTTGTGAGACACAAAACAGATATTTGTGAGACACAAAAGATCAGGTCCATATTGAAGGTCTGGTTAAACTGATTGATTGCTACTCATGCCTATGTACAGGAATATTCTCAACTAAAAGTTAGCACCTACTAGGAGTTAGGGTGAATGAAATTCAGGGGGAAGGGAATTGGGCTTAGTTTACTTTTGGTTATGTAAAGATTCTAGGCTTATCTCTCTTTTAACTCCACTCTAGGACCAACTTCTTTTGGCCCTAATCAACCTTTGAGTGACATATTGGAAGGTCATACTTAATAATTAAGAAATTGGTGTTTCCAAGACCAGCAAGTGAGTAGTTCAAAATTAAATGAGTTAAGTAGAATTAATATTTCTCCCATTTACATCTTATTATAACTTAAAGGCAACTTTTAGTGGGGCATAGTATGATATGTATGCAGTCATGATAAACTATTTCTGGATAGAATATTTGTGCATTATCCTTATGCCAACATGCTTTACACAACTTCTGAAGCCACAGTTAAAATGCTTTTGCATATAGTTTCTTAGTGGCTTATTTGTGGATTGCTTCCATATGACCATAATTTTAAATGCCATTAATTTAACATAATACATTAGATCATAATATCCAAAATTCTAATTCTAAGGATATTTGACTATAAAAATGAAGAATGTAACTAATACTAAATGAATTGATCTATAAGTGTTCTTACAACTGAGGTCAAAAGATAATTATAGCAGTAACATCTACAGCTTAAGTCTGTTAATATCCACTGAAATCAGTTTATTTCTTTCACTTAAAAAATAGGTAGAGCACCTTTCAAATTTGTTTTGTTAAGATGTTGCCTCTATGTCTAACTGCTACCTAATAATATCTTTTCAAAAAATAAATTTAACCTAAAACATATAAGTCAACTAATTATTTCTGTTAATTTATAATATGCTAAAGAAATGCTTTTTAAAATCAATTATTAAATTATAATGGATAAAAATGTACTTTTGGCTTGGTAAACAGTTTTTCAGAGGAAAACAGAATTTAATGTTAGTAATAGCTTAATATAATAGCTTGTTACTCTTACCTCTTCCAGTTAATTCTTGTATCTGGACAGTGTCTTTACATGGCTGTTGACATTGTTCCTCGAGCTGAGCAGTTTTCTGCTTTAGTAACTGAATCTTATTATTGTTTAATATCAGTATGTCTGTCAATTGCCTGCAGTTTAAAAAGTATAATATAGTTTTATCATACTGGTTAGAAGCACTTGAAACTCACATATAATGGCCTTTTCTTCTATGAAAGAAAGCAGCGAGGAATGAAATAAATGAAAGGGAAAACATGAGTATGCATTGCCCGATATCAGTGATGGTTAACTTTTTTGGTGCCGAGTACTCAAAGCGCATGCGCCAGCACACGAATGCACACGCGTGTGCCCCAACCCCCAAAATTCAATGCGAGCGCCCCCACACATGTGCCCTGCCCCCACGCATGCGTCTGTGTTCCCTGTGCATGCGCCCTCCCGCGCATACACCATGCCCCCGCCCCCCATTTTGGCTTCCAGGTTGGTTCTCCTGCATTTTTGCTGCCTGTGCCTTCCACGATCTCCTCAGTTTCTCCCCCCAGCATGCCTTAGCTTTCTCCTGCATTTCTGCCATGGAGAGGCATCTGCGCAGGGTGGCACCTGCAGAGATTGGGGAAGGCAAGGGTCGCAGAAATGGAGGAGAAAGGTAGGACGCGCTGGGGAGGAAACTACAGAGATTGGGGAAGGCCCCTCCCCCCCCATGCATGTGCGGCAGAGACCCGAAGACCAGCTGGCCAGTGGGAGGCATGTGTGTGTGTGTGGTGGAGCTGGGCTGGGGCGACAGCTGGCATGCCTGCAGAAAGGGCTCTGCGTGTCACCTGTGGCACATGTGCCATAGGTTCACCATCACGGCCCTATATGATCTATCCACTGAGGGATTCTAAAATTTCCTTTCCTCTTTATCTATTCAGTGTTTAATAAGAGAATGCTTGAATGGGACTATCAATTTGCAGACCAACCTCCGTATACATGGGGCTCTGTAATATTATTCTTCTATTTGTATACTAATTTTCTTCCCACATTACAGAAGGAAGGTCCAAAATGAAAAAAAAAAGTGCAAATATAAACATATAATTCAAACTAAGGAAACTAGAAAGGGTCTAAAACGGATAAATCATTCTGTCTTAAGCTGATATGGGGAGCCTAAAATCTATTAAAAATTGGTAACTATAACTTTAAGAGATCCCAGCCATTGTAACCAACAAAACAGAATATTGGGAGCTAAAATTCCACAATATCTGGACAATGCCAAGTCTGTTCCTTCCCTACCTCAAAGGAGTGCTATATGGATAAGATGTGCTCGATAAGTAAGTTGCGTATATAGTGAGATAACAAACAAACATTCTCTCAGCATTTTTGCTATTCTTTATCCTTTGTAAAATATAAAGGTTCTTTTAAAAATAGGTAATTCTGCATTAGTTAAAATACAAAGCAATTCAATAGTGTACAAATTCTGTGCTTCTTTTAGATGAACAAGAACTGTTTGGTGTAGTCTGGCTCTACTCATATTTACCTCTCCAATAAGTTACATACGTATAAACTACAATATAAACAGTTTAACTTTCCTTGATGCCTGATTTTAAATTTGACAACTAATTCAACATGGACAACATGAAAGGAAGAAAGATTTGGTCCTCATACTTTAGCAGAAATTATGCTGGAAGAAAATAGATGCAAACCTTTTAATTCAATCCACAGTATGTTTTTTTGCATTCTCAACACTGAAAAAAAAATAATTAAACCTACTGTATGGTATTTTCATGACCCACAATGATGTTTTCATATCTCAAAATTTCATCAATGATTTGTCTGGACTTCTGTGTATAACCTGGAATCACATCTATAGGGAGAAAAAAAGCAGGGGATGCGTAAAACATTAAGGATACCAAACTAAATCATTGAAATAGTAAAACTATTTACGGTAGCCTTTGATTCTCACTTGACTGAGCTGCTGGCTGTGAGACGTGCACTTGTCGGATCTGGCGTATCAAGCTGTCAGTTACTCCTGAAGAATTAGAGATCTCCCCCAACAATTGTTCAAGGATCTGAAGATCTCGATCGACGTCCTTATGATACCTGCTTGCGAAATCTGCAACGCCGCATGTTGTAGGACAAAAGTTGCCCTACAGGAAAAGAGAAAATTTTTAAAATCGTATCGACTATAGCCAGACATTAAAGCTTTTTTTTTCTATACACATGAGATGATGTGGTACAATAAAGGGATTTGTGACAAATAGAAGTCTAAACATAAACAAGATGACCAAGAACCCTATACTGATTGTCAGTTGTTAATCTAAAAAGAGTTGTGGACTTTAGTAAGAACTTCATGTTTACAGCTAACAATCTACAGTAACAACCTGATTAGAAAGGACTGCAAAAACAACCCAGATTATTGACTTACGAATCGTTCATCCAAGATGCAGCAGTTGTCACGCGTGGCAAAATACTGAATAAAAGAAAATACAAAAAATATCAGGATGGCATTTCAGTCATTATGATATTTTGATCACTACGTATTTTACAAAGGTCCATACCCTGCCCAGGTAAACTTACTGCAGTACAAGTTGAAAAGAAGAAAAATAGAAGAGGCAGCCACTTGTGAAATTTTGGCAGCATATTGTCTGTAGCTTCCAGAACCGCCAAACACAGGAGAGGCAGTGCTTAATCAATGTGAGTTTGTGGACTTCAGAGAACTGAACTTGTTCTCTAAACTGTGTAGGGCAGCTTAAGAGATCATGTGGCATTTAGTGGGTGAAAATAGGCGGGGCTGACACATAAAGAGGACAGCCTCTTCCGGCCCTAGTGGGAGTGTTTCCAGAATTTGCTGCCACCCATTCATTGCATTTTAAAATCCTAGATGATTTTGACTTACCTCTGCCAGAAAAACCTATGGAAGGATAACTTGCCCTATGAAGCAATTTCTTCCAGTAATCATTTGCAATAAGGCTGACTTGCTTGTTTGAAGGACCTGAATGCAAAAGATAAGAATTTCAAAAGCAGCTGGCTCTCACAATTTCCCCCCTGCTCTTAGGGGAAAAGCTAAATTTTGTTAAACATGACTCATGTGAAAAAAAAAAAGTCTTCAAGCCATAGCAATATTAAAAGTTTTTGAGTGCAATACAAGGCAGCAGTTTTGTTCCATTTTAATTAGCATTGAAGGAAGAACATAGCTCTTTTCTTTGTCTACATGGCCTCTAATTTCTTCTACCTCCTCTGATCTTGCCCTGACCATTAGTTTAAAAATATCAATTTTGGCTTAAGTCATAGGACAAACAATACTTCTGCACCCTATTGATCAGGGTACAAAGGGAGCTCAAATCGGTAAAATTGTTTTATCACATTAAGGGCAACAGAATTATAGCAAAAGATAATCTAGAAGGCAGGATTAGTTTATGTAATAAAGAAGTGATTCTATTGCTTTCACTGCTTTTTATCCTACGGATACAATCATTAAAATTGCTTATTATATCGGTGTTAATTCAGGTTTCCCATTAACCAGCAGATCCTAGCTTTTTAGTGAATGAAAATTCTGATATACATTTATAGTAACATATCTCTTATTTAAAAAAATCTCCTACCATTGTTAAGGGCTAGCACTATATCTATTTTACTTATTAATTTGTTTATATATTTGTACATTGGCAAATCTTCACAGTGGGTTACAATATACTAAAAATCAGGGAAAGTGCACACATTAAAACACAACATTTAATTATAATAATTACAGCACCTAATAATAAAAAAGGACACCTGGTTAGAACCAATCACAATAATTCTCCCTTGGGAAAGTTCAGGCTTTGAAAGCATTCAGGAAGTAGCCAGCTTAATTTCTAGAGGGAAGAAGTTCCATAAATTCCATAAGGGGCTGCCAGAAAGAAGAGGGGGGCCAACCTATTTTTCAAAGTATCCGAGGGCAACACAAGAAACAATGGATGGAAACTAATCAAGGAGAGAAACAACCTGGAATTAAGGAGAAACTTCCTAACAGTGAGGAGAGTTAACCAGTGGAACTGCTTGCCACCAGAGGTTGTGGGTGCTTCATCACTGGAGGTTTTTAAGAAAAAACTGGACAGCCACTTATCTGAAATGATATATGGTTTCCTGCTTGAGCAGGGCGTTGGACTAGAATTCTTCCAATGTTCCTTCCAGATCTATTCTGATTGTTTGATTGATTGATTGAGTAAGTAAGGTGCTGCAGCAAAAAAAATAGCTGCTATTAGTCTTGGCTTTTCTACCTCATGGGTAGAAATGACTGTAAATAACATAATAGAAATGTAAACTTTGTGTCATATGTGTCCTACGGCTTAGTGAAATGTGCAAAAAAATGATATATTTTTTTTACATATATTGCCTTCAGTTAAGGCAGCAGTTCATAATAATTTAGAAACTAAAACCAAAATAGTTAAAATTTGAGAACTCATGCAGGGATTTTAGCCTCATCAAATTTTATGATCAGTTATCAATTTTTAATTCCTCAAGATGCAGGTAAATGGGCTCCAAATGAGATTGTAACAATTGTAATTTAGAATTTGCAACTTGAAATCAGAGGGTGGCCTGTAATAAAAATGAAAGTGAAAATTATACCAGAAATCAGACATTAATTTCTAATTTTCTTATAAACCACGGATATTTATTAATCCTATTTTCCGCAATTGTATAATCTCCCAACAGAAATATATTAATATTTTCCCCTGAAACTTTTCTTGAGTGACTTCTAATCTGGGATAAAAAAAGCAGTTCATGAAGGTTATAGTGTCTGTCATATTAATCCATAGGCAGAAATTAATTGCACTAGAATATTAATCTTATTTCAACATTGAAAACAGGAGTTTTCCAAATCACATTTGATGAAGAAATTCAAAGGGTTGGCACAGACAGCTCTGTTCTCCAATATCTCATCACTGATGCTTTTCTCCAGGCCCTGCTGCTTTAAAACAGGTAGACCTTGATTTACAAAAGTTCATTTAGTGACTGTTGAAAGTCATAGCGACACTGAAAAAAGTGACAATTTTCCACCCAACATCGCCATGATCACATGATCAAACTTTAGAAGCTTGGCAACTGACTCATATTTATGAATTTGCAGTGTCCCGGGGCAGTGGTGGATTTCAACATTTTTTACTGCTGGTTCTGTGGGTGTGGCTTGGTGGGCGTGGCAGGAGAAGGTTACTGTAAAATCCCCAGTTCCTCCCGATCAGCTGGGACTTGGGAGGCAGAGAATAGAAGGGGGCGGGGCCAGTCAGAATTTTTACTACCGGTTCTCCGAACTACTCAAAATTTCTGCTACCGGTTCTCCAGAACTGGTCAGAACCTGCTGAAACCCACCTCTGTCCCGGGGTCATGTGATCACCTTTTGCGCCTTCTGACAAGCTAGTCAGTGTTTCTCAACCTTGGTAGCTTGAAGATGGGTGGACTTCAATTCCCAGAATCCCCCAGCTGGCTGGGGGATTCTGGGAGTTGAAGTCCACCCATCTTCAAGCTTCCAAGGTTGAGAAACACTGAGCTAAGTCAATGGGAAAGCCGAAGGGACTTTACAAATGCGTAACTAACTTAACAACTGCAGTGATTGGCTTAACAACTGTGGAAAGAATGGTCATAAAATGGGGCAAAATTCATTTAATAATTGGCTCATTTAGCAACAGAAATTTTGGATAAATGTGCATAGAATCATATTGGAATACCAAATAAACAGCCCTTTTTCATTATTATACAGATATGGATTGTTAAATTTATCCCAGAAAATGAGCAGGACTGTGTATTTATTTACATTATTTATAATGTGCCCAGAAAATTATCAAGGGACTTTTATAGTTGATAGTACAACAAATTAATGATATAAATAAATGTACAAGGAAATATTGTCTGACAGATTACTAGCTAAAAGAATAAAAACGCAATAAAATGATTATTTTTCAAGCCTAAGAAAAGAATACGTCATAATATATCAGAAAGGTAAAGGAGATAAGATATTCTTCCCCATTTGTTTTTGCTCTTGCAAATTGTGTCCTTAGAAATGTTTTTCCAGAAACAAAACAATCATAAAATAATGTGTAATGCATTTTTAGAGGCCAAAATGAATCCTAGTATATCCCAATTGAGCAATTCCGACCTTTCTTGTAGCTTGCTTACTGATTTCTCAAGAACTTCTAAATGATTATACATGTGGAGATACAAAGAAGATTAGGTCTAGATTACCATGTCCCTTTCAAGCTGATTAGAAGGGTGAAATTGGTGCGAGGTTTGTTCAAACTTTCTAAATTATATTTGTTATGCAAATACTAGTTTGATTCAATTCCTGTGACACAAAATGTTCTCGGTGAGGTGAACATTTTAGGTTAACAAAAACAATGAGATGTCAGCTGTCTGTTTGTCACATATTTTCAAAGAAACGTGGGAAATAGTTCAGGATATTTGTAGAACATTTAAGTTCAACATTACTATCAATTTTATAGTCCACACCCATTACGGGATTTAGATTTAGAATGGAATCCAAGGATGATTTTGGCAACCAAGACACGATTCATTGAGGATGTGCACACATGCAAAGAACTGCAAGCGTTTATTTTGCAAGTTTAATATATTATTATATATATGCAAAAATGTGGAGTCACAGCTTCCAATTCCTTAGCTGTTCTTCTTCTTCTTCTTGTGTCATATCCGTCATCGGACGTTGGCGATCACATTGATTCTTGATAAATATATCTTGTCCTTTTATGTACACTGAGAGCTTTAAAGGTGTTGGTTACCACCTTTAAAGCGCTCCATGGCATAGGACCTAGTTCGCTTCGAGACCACCTGCTGCTACCGACAACCTCCCATTAACCCGTGCGCTCCCACAGAGAGGGCCTCCTCAGGGTGCCATCAGCCAAACAATGTAGGCTGGTGACCCCCAGGGGGAGGGCCTTCTCTGTGGGGGCACCTACGCTATGGAACCAGCTGCCCTCTGAGATAAGGAGAATCCAAGACCTTGGTGCCTTCCGCCGTGCCCTTAAAACTTTCTTTTTTCATCAAGCTGGGCTGGCTTAACATATTTTTAAATTTTAAATTTTTAATTGGTTTGTCATTTTAAACTGGGGCCAAATTAATATATATTCTTTTAATTGTTCTTTATGTTTGTATTGTATGTTTTTATCTGGCTGTACACCGCCCTGAGTCCCTTGGGAGAAGGTGCGGTATATAAATTTGAAATAAAATGAAATAAAATAAAATAAAATAAAATAAAATAAATAAATAAATAAATAAATAAATAAATAAATAAATAAAAAAAAAATATGCACCAAGATAAATTCCTTGTGTGTCTAATCACACTTGGCCAATAAAGAATTCAATTCAATTCAATTCTATTCTATTCTATTCTGTTCTGTTCTCTTCTGTTCTCTTCTGTTCTGTTCTCTTCTGTTCTATTCTAATTGGTAGCTTTTCATAATGTACTATGAAATAAGTTACAATTTACTACTTACTCTGGCTGACTGTGCATCACAACATACAAGCCACATATGATATGTAAATCCATCTACTGTATTTGTGATGAAGGTTTTTCTCCATTTTAAAAGCATCTTTGATTCAGTAGTGTATTATTTAAGCTGTTCTCCCACCATTTTATTTTATTGGTTTTGCTTCATTTTATTAGCTCAGTTGTTGCTATTTTATAGGCCAGGCTTGACATTATGAATCAAAAGATCTATTTCAGCTACAGTGAAAATATGAGGGTCTAGAGGCAGAGGAAATGACAATACCTGAAGGACAGAGATGATTGGGGGGAGAGAGAGAGAACCATATCTGCATGAGATGCGCAATCTACAGACCATTTTTGTAGTTCCTATAATTTTATACTTTGAAATTAAGTTGAGGCCAATGAGATTTATTTCCTGGTGAATTTGGATCACATTGCAGTTGGATAGTTATTGGAGGGACTTTGGTATATTTATAAAAGGTTATTTTTTAAAAAAGTTCTTTATTTCAAACAGATTGCAGTGTATACTTTACCTTGAGAGGAAGATCACTGAACTCCATTTGTTAACAAAGAGCAGACCTGCCAATGTGCAAGGAGAAAGTAAATAATCAGCTCAAATATTTGTAGAACGCATTTTAATTACGGGAAGATAGACTAGAACAAATTGGATAGTTTGTGGGCGATGATTGATGCAGTAGAGGCAAATAGGGACAGTCCACATAAATGAATAATACCAAATTTCCTGGATATGAAATGGGGATAATAAAAAAAACCCACTCTGTTAAGCAAGGACACTAGGAACAAAAGGTGGGCTGCTGGGGGTTCGCAGGGATTTGGAAGAACCTCTAGCTAAGATTCTGTGCAGTTTGGAGAACCCCCAAATCCCACTTCTGGCCCTGCCCATCCCGCTCCTCCCAGAAGTCCCCATGTGACCCGTTTTGGATGCAGGTAAGGGCAGGGCACACATGAAGGCTCGGGGAGGGCGAAAAATGGGCCTACCGGAAGTTCGGGAAGGGCCCCGTTTCCAGCCTCCAGAGGGCGTCCGGAGCCTGGGGAGGCCATTTTCATCCTCCCAGAGGTTCGAGGAAAGCCTCTGGAACCCGGGGAGGGCAAAAATGTCCCTCCCCCATGGTGCAGGAGGCTGACTAGGCCACGCCAACCGAGCAACCAGGCAGAGAACCCCTTGCTAAAATTTTTGAAGCCCACTCCTGCTAGGAACCAAAAATAGAGATGAAAATAATTGCCAAAATGGATCATTTCCAAATGAACGCAGAGATGATGTGTTACTTAACATCTGTGGCAAAGTAAGGAGGCACAGGTTTAAGAACGAATGAACAAAAGAAAGTGGATTCAGTGACTAGTAGCAAAGAAGTACAGAGTTGATTTGCTAATTAAGAAAATGAATGAGGATCAAATGACAAAATACATATATGAGGAAGAGTGGATGAACTGAGAAAAAGTGGGGAGAACTTCAGAAAGATGAGAAGTGAAAACAACAAAAATATGGATGCTGTACGGACATGGTGGAAGCAGTGATTTTTAGGACAGAAAAGTAGAATGCTGTTGGATTAAAGTTATTTTAACTCTTTATTGTGCACCTTTAACTTCTTTCTTGCTCCTTTTCTGGGCTCTGCACAATGTTTATCTTGAATGAGAAAAAAGCATGATGGCTATACATGTGTATAACAAGTGCAACAGAGCCCCCTGCTGGCCAGATTATCTGTGAGAAATTGAGATACTCCAAGTACAGTTAGATGTAAGTCTATTTGTAAAATGTTTGGCAAACAAACCATTAACCCTGAATTTGCTAATCATTTTATTTTTAGTTTCAATAGCCAAAAACTAAGCACAGGTGCAATGAAGCAGCTAAGTAATTTTAGGCATTGGATAGTAATTTTAGGAATTGGATTACAAGCCAGAAAGAATGTTGATACAAGCACAATCAGTCTGAGTGGCCAATGACATACATGTACCGTGTTTCCCCAAAAATAAGACCCTGTATTATATTTTTTTGAACTCTGAAATAAGCACTTGGCCTTATTGCCATTTGGTCAAAAGTCCGATTAGGCTTATTATCAGTTGTTGCGAAGTCGTGTCCGACCCATCGCGACCCCATGGACAACGTTCCTCCAGGCCTTCCTGTTCTCTATCATCTTCTGGATTCTATTTAAGCTCACGCCAGTGGTGAAATCTAAATTTCTTTCTTACTGGTTCTGTGGGTGTGGCTTGGTTGACTGGGTGGGCATGGCTATGTAACCATGTGACTGGGGGATCAAAAGACAAACTCATTAAGAATGTCCTGCTGGAGCAGGGTTGGACTAGATGACCTCCAGGTCCCTTCCAGCCCAGGATTATCCTCTGAAGCTGCATCTAATGCCAGGTTTGTAGTCCTTCCTGCCTCTCCTTTTTCCTTCCTTCCTTCCTTCCTTCCCTCCCTCTCTTTCTTTCAAAAACGCACCCCCACCCCCCATTTTTGTCCTACACC